TTCGCATTCATCTTGCCGTATACCGAACTGTCCTGCAACTAAAGAATTATTTTAAAACAAAATTTAGACGTTGAATTCTCAGTGGTACGAGAATGTTAAAGCAGATTAAAAAAACTGGTAAATAATATATATATATACTAGAATGCGATATCTGTTTTTGAATATTATTTTCCCTATTTGATTGAAATTAAAATCTTTGTGATATTAGAAATGGATAGTTTGCAAAATATTAATGGGAACGAATTTTTGGGATTTTTGGGAGCAAATGATTGCAACTCGATTGAAAGCTTTGTTAATTTCATATTGATTGTATATCAATAAATAATCTCAATATATCATCAAATCAATCAAAATTTATAATATACCGTCTGGCGTAGTTTGATTGTCGGATGATATCAATTAAACGTTTATTTTTTTCAACCATTTTATGTTCCACTTCAACGTATGGTATACCAGCGATACGTGCAATCTTTTTCTCACTTTCACGCATTTCAACCAAACGATTCTTTAAAATTTTAAATTTAAAATTTGAAATTTAAAATAAATTTCAAAAAAAATTTAGAAGAGACAAAAAATTAAAACAAAATTCTTTTATTTGACAAATTTCGACAAATTAAATCGATCAAATTATTAAAAACAAACTGATAAAAATGATTAAAAATACTTTGCTATGAAGCCATGCTGGACTTTCGGGAAAAATGAAGAAGACAATAAGAAGAGCCGGTAAAGCAACTATAGCATTTCCGAATGATGCTAACCGCCATTCCGGTATCAAATAGCATATTATCGTCATCATCAATCGAGCAATACCCTGGGATCTACGTTTTGCTTCTTTATCGATTTTTTATTTGAAATTCGTAAAATATTTAGCTTTTCATTCATTTCCCGTAATCACTAGGTTTTTTTTTTCTTTTTTACATCATTTTATCAGTGATAATTGGCAATTAATTATTGATTAGATAATTTTCTTGTAATATATAAATAATTATAAATGGCATCAATGCATTATAATTATACGCATATCTTAGGAATTTCAAAAAAGGTTTAACAATTTAAATGATTTAATTGATATGTATTTATCAATTATATATCATTAATTAAATTGTTAAATCTGAAATAATTAAATAAAAATCACACAATTAGCATAAACTAATTAAGCAACAAATTTAAATGTAATTCTGTCAATTAACAAACATTACGATTTAACAACTAAGATAATTATCACTATTCATTATTTATTATTAAAATTATTATTATTATCATTATCACTATAAAATTCATTATTTCGTTTCTTATTTGTTGTATTTATTGTATTTTCATACATATCCATTTTCAATTATTTGAGTTATTTGTTGAAAAAAATTTTTAATTGTTTTAATTTTTTTAATTAACAATATATCTCATTTTATTTTTCATTTAAGAAAAATTAAAAATTACCCAATTAAAAAAAGCTCTAAGTGCCATACGTTGTTGTGGTAAAAGCATTTCCATTACATATGTACAAACTACCACAATGGTACCACCAATTGAAATACCAATGAAAAATCGTAATATTAACAAAATTTTCCAGCTTGGTACTAATCCTAAAATTTCAAAATTGATTGTTTTAAAAAAAGAAATTTAATCTTTTCTTTTTTATAAAATTATTTTAAAAGAAAAACAAAAGCAATTAATGTGTTTAAAATTCTTTAAAAGAAAAACAAAAGCAATTAATGTGAATTGAATGAGAATTATTTTAATATTTCAAACGAGGGCAATACTGTAAATATTTCTTCGATATTTACTATGCTTATATTATTTTCTAAAGTTACGGTATCAGTAATATCAGTATACAGTAACAGTAATTCGGTTAAATAAAATAACTAATTGAATTTGAGATTATGTTTAACTGAATTATTAATATAGTACAATTTTTTTAATATTGACATAACAGTTGATGCCTGATATGAAATTTGATATCAGTTTCTCAAATAAATCTTATTATATCAGTTGAAGTCAATCTTTTACAGCTAATTAAGATATTTCGAATTAAGTACTATATGATATGTTCCCAGATATCACACTGAAATATCTTAATTCCTTTAAAGTTATTGTTGTTATGATCTAGGAACAACATTTAGTAATTTAATAATAATAATAATAATAATAATAATAATAATAATAATAATAATAATAATAATAACAATAATAATAATAATAATGATAATAATAATAATTAGAATAAAAATAAGATTTCATGCGAATTTTTTTCTTATTTTTATTGGCTATAAAATATGAAAAGTTAAATTATGTATGCTAAAATTATACCTGAACAAAATGAAACAATAATACCACAAGCGAGTGAAATTAAAGCTAATGAATGACGTCCAAAAATATCCGATAATGTTCCCGCAGTTATCGCACCTAATAGGACACCAAGAAATTGTATCTGACTAAGTAATGATGGCAAATATGCTGATGGACCACAAATCCAACCATATTCGAGAGCTGCCGAGAAAAATGCTATCTGAAAATTTTCCGCTATTTGAAAGAAACATAGATATTCTATTTGTTTATCAAATAATAATAAATGATTTAGTAATTTTAGTAATGAACAAAAGTATGCATATGAATGGACAGGTATCATCAAAAAATGCTGTATATTTCAAAATGGAATTTATTGATCTAATAATTAAATATAAATATATTGGATTTGAAAAAATCTAATAATGAAATATAAATGATATTGGAATTGAAAAAATCTAATAATGAAATATAAATGATATTGGAATTGAAAAAATCTAATAATGGAATATAAATATATTGGAATTGAAAAAAAGGAATGATAAAATTTTTGATAAAGATAACAAAAAAGGCAATAAGATCTTAATGCAATGAAATGAAATATTTAATTATCAGAAAATAAGAAATAGAAATAAGTTGGGCTAAATTTCAAAAATAATTAAATAGTAATTAATTACACATATCAAATAATATATTATAAATATAAATAAATGAATGAAATAATATTTATATAAGATTAATAAATAAAACATAAATTATAAACAACGATGAATAAATAGTTTATTGAAATACCTCATCGAATTCAATACTATTTTTGCATGATTGAAAAATGGTACAATTGTTGGAGAATGATTGATTTGTAGAGCAACGCCATTGTGGGATATAATTTAGAAAGATTGGATAAATCATTTGTGATGCAAAAAATATGCTAAATTGCCAGGTAATTAGGACAAATATATGGAAACGATTAATACTGTAAATCATAATTGTGAAATTTTCGATTTAATTCAACTTTAATCTGAAATATTATAAAATCAATAATTTTCAAAATTAAATTTATATTTCATCGATCAAAACAAACTTGGAAGAGATAATAAAAACTGAAGAAATACGAAAGAAACAACAACAACAACAACAACAACAACAACAACAATAATAATAATAATAATAATAACAACAACAATAAACCACTGCAGTAAGAGAAAAGAACAACAAAAATGTAATTTACAGAGAATAAATAATCTCATTTTCATTAATACAATAACCGTTTAATAGTTCACTGTTAATATGATACCAAATAATATTCCTGAAAGTATATGTGTAATAAGCTGGCAGAAAAATATATATTGTTAAAGATTCGAGTTCAAATATTTTAGTAAAACAGTACTAGCGAAATTAAAAATAGAATGAAAACAAAGAAGATAATGATCTTCTGTTAATTGTATTTTGGATATAAACTATAATTTGAATTGTAATTTTTACGTTTTATATTTATTTGATTTGTTAGTATTATCAGATTGATAGTATTTTCAGTTGCATAAGTTGATAAGAGAAATTACGAATGGTTATGATAGTTGCGTTTGCATAGCTGTCTGTATAATCCATGTTGATAATAATAATGATAAGTTTTTAATGATAAAACTTTTTATTGATAATTTATAATTAAATAAGAAAAAAGATTAAAAAGCAATACTTACATAGTTACTATCATTGTTTTATCTTCAAAATTAATTTATTATTTTTATGATTATTCTATTTTTTCTTTTTTTATAAAAAATAAAGCCATTCCAATTTCTTTTTTTTTTTTTTGAAATGTCTAATTTAAAAACACACGTATCATAATGAATAGCACGAATAGCCCTTTCATAGCCAATCAGTTGGCATCAACATTTTTGATAATATGATAATACTATTATAACGAAGTAGGATTCAAATAATTTAAATATTCAAATAATTTAAAATTTGCAATTCCTTTCTCTTATTATTGCTGTAAAATATTCTTGCAAAATTTTCTACTTAAAATGATTGTCGCATTCTTTGAAGTATTATTTAACAGTCAAAAAAACAAAAGAGCTGCTAATGATAATATCAATTGTTCGGTATTATATTATGCATTATATAATAAAAATATTTTAATGAAAAATTTTAATAATAACAAATACTGATATGTTGATAATAATTGATTATCTCATTTTGAATAATGGTATAGAAATGAAAAGATCGATTACAATATTGCTTGAAGAATAATTAAAAGCGCTAATTTAAAACAATAATTACGATAAATGGAAGAAAAAAAAAATTTTCATGAAATTTCATAAAGGTATTTGAAATACAATGATAGGAGAATGCGCATTTTGTTAGTGTTTAACAATCTCTCTGATAAGAGAGCTGGCAATGAATTAAAAATGGAACCAGTTTTCATATTTTACTTCAATTTCGTTAATACCTATTTTTGTTATCTTATTTTTCGTAATGATTTCAATTTTTACCTTTCCCTTTTTTTACCTGTTCCTATCACTTTTTTTTGTCTTCTCTCTCTCTCTCTCTTTTTTCCCTTTGATCTTTGTCTTTTTAAAATTTTTATTTAAATATATGTAAATAAATTTTAAAATAATACTAATTAATATTAATAATTATTAGAATTTGTCTTTTTTTTAAAATACTAATTGATATTAATAATTATTAGAATTCATCTTTTTTTAAAATTATTTTTGCTTTTCTTTTGTTTATAAAATATTTGGTGAAAGTGAAAATAATACGTATACAATATAATGATAATATAGTTATAATTTAATACGACTACAATACAACGATAATATAGTTATAATTTAAGCATGCAAACGATGATAGATAAATTTGATCAATTAAATTATGATAAGCCAATTATTGCTGGATATAATTAAAAGTATAACAGTAATAAGCAATAAGATGATAAGATAAAAATAAGAAAATACATAGAAGAAATATTTCAAATAAAATATTTCATGGATGGTTTATATTGTCTACAAAAAGTTTGATCATAATAGATAAAGTTTTAATAATATATCTTATCAATTTTGTTTGTTTTATTTATTTCATTTATCACTACGAGTATTATTATTTATCATTAGTATTACTGTTACTTACATAGTGGAAAAATAATCATTTCAAAATTCCAATTTTAATTATTATTTTTGTTTACAGTAATAATTATTATTATTATCATTATTATCACTACCACTGCAATAGTATTACTGTTACTTACGTTGTGGAAAAATAATCATTTCAAAATTCCAATTTTAATTATTATTTTTGTTTACAATAATAATTATTATTATTATCATTATTATCACTACCACTGCAATAGTATTACTGTTACTTACGTTGTGGAAAAATAATCATTTCATAATTCCAATTCTAATTATTATTTTTGTTTACAATAATAATTATTATCACTATCACTATTATTATTTAACAGTAATAGTGCATTTAAAATATCTTTCGTATTTCCGGAACATTATTCGGTTTCATTCTGTCCCATTAAAAATAAGATTTTAGCGTTGATAATGAATGAATGAATGTTACCATAGCAACCGGAATGCCGTAGATTGTTATTTCGTAGAATGTCGTCGTCGTTGTCGTCGTCCAAAGAGAGAAGTTTATTCTGTTTCGAATTTTTTATCGAATCCATTGAAATGATATCAGAATCGGTGAATGTTCAATCGATAGAAATCAAATTTAATGATTACGAATGGTTTACTATTTCTCATGGATAGTTCATTTGCTATTGATTTTAATTAAATTAATTTTTTATTTCAATTTTAGAACTTTTATCATTTACGATATGATAAATTAAATTAAAAATTTTAAATTAAAATTAATGATAGAAGCATTAAAATTAATTTTAATTATTAATTACAATTAAATTTTGTTAAATTTTAAAATTATTTTTATACCAAAAAACTTAAATTTTTTGTAATTAAATTTTAACGCTTAATTATCTAATTAAAATTCAATGATAAATAATAGAATTTAAATTTTTGCAAAAAATTTTTATTAAATAAAATGAAAAAATTAACAATATAGTATAATATGAATTTATGGTATTGAATAATTTACAGAATTATTTGCAGAATGTTGGAATAATATTGGTAAAAGATGTTATTTAATTAATGAAGCAAATTTTTTAAATCAATTAGCTACCAGTAATCTTCGTATTCGTGCAATTTGTAACGATCAATCGATTTATACGTGTAATGTTAGCTTTGGATCATTTCATGCAACTAAAGTAATCATTCATTTTCATTTCATTTCATTTCATTTCGTTTTATTTCTATTCAATTATTTCAGTATAAAATTATTTGCAAAATAAAAGCAAAAAATTTTAAATAAATTACAAAATTTTTTTTAATTACCTCTTTAATTTTTTAATTAATTTTTTTAATTTTTTAATTACCTTTTTAATTATTTAATTACCTTTTTAACTATCTTATATTAAAATTAAATTGTTCTATTGTTATTCCTTCAAAAAACAAATATTCTGAAAGCTTTTTTGTTGTATTAAATAAAATTATATTTAAAAGAATTTTTAATACATTTAAAAATTTTTAATTTAAAATTAAAATATACTTTAAAAAAAAGAATTGACATTAATTTCATTGAAATTTTATTTTAGGATACGGCAAATTGTAAAGGAATCATAAAATTATATCCAATGGATAAATTATCTAAAAATTTACATATACATGTTGCAATGCGTATTTTCAACGTGGATCGCGTACATTCTACAATTTTCAATCATAGTATTTTTGCTGTTAACCGGAATACTCAAACGGATTGGTGCCGAATGAATCAAAAAGTTCAAATTGGTGTAACAATGCGGCATGTTGCAATACAGGTAAAAAATTTGAATAAAACTTTTATTTTTTTTTCTTCTTCAAATTACGTGTGAATATTATTTTTAAAAAATGAGAATTACGAACATGAAGAATTTAAACGATAATAAAATCTAAGGATAATAAAATATCAATAATAATAAAATCAAAGAGTGAAAAAGCAAATTCATTTCGAATATTTCTTGTTGGTTGAACAAATATAAATTTTAATGGTAATATAATTAATTTAAATTAACTTAAAATTAATTTCTATTAATATAAGAATTAGCATTGTATAAATCGTAGTAAAATATTAGCGATAATATTATTTTAATGAATGAATTAAAAAAAAATAAATGATAATTCCAATAATTTATTCATTTAATTGAATGATATAGTAAGTGTTTTTCATGATCAATTGATTACTGATAATCAAATTATTAAAGCTTATTTTAAAACAATAAAAAATTAATACAAAAATTATTATGAACGATTAATTGATTACTAATAATCAATTATTAAAGCTTATTTTAGAACAATAAAAATTAATACAAAAATTATTATGAACAATTAATTGATTACTAATAATCAATTATTAAAACCCATCTTAAAACAATAAAAATTATTACAAAAATTATTATGAACGATTAATTGATTATTAATAATCAATTATTAAAGCTTATTTTAGAACAATAAAAATTAATACAAAAATTATTATGAACGATTAATTGATTATTAATAGTCGATTTCTAAAACTAATCATAATTCTTAACGAGGTAATCAATCGAATATTAATTTCTTCTTCAATTTTTATTTATCTCTAATGATTTTCTCACTTTTCGACAAATCATCGAAAATCGAAGAGTAAACGTACGCAAGTAAAAGAAAGGACAAAAAGGCATGTCACAACGAAAGATGCAGCCGTTCAATTTTCTACGAATATTTCACAACAACAATTGACAAAAGTAATTGCTGAAATGATTTGTCAAATTTTGGCCGTTAATGAAAAAAAACAACAATTACAAAAAAATTCCGGTATTTCTTCACTATCAAGTTTTTTATTCATTAAACTGATGGAATAATAATAATATAATAATAATAATTAATAATAATAATGATAATAATAATATAATAATAATTAGTAAAAATAAACTATAGAGATATGTTCCCTTTTAATGAAACTAATTATTTCTAACTGATTAATTTTTTCCTCTGCTTTTCTATAAAAACATATCTCTCTTAATTACTAATATAATAATATGTTATAGTTACTTCAACGTTATTTTATGAAAACATTTATCAACCATATCAGTCATATCTTTTTTATATCATTATGTTTTTTCCCTTTTTTTTTCCACCGTAGCAATTTGCATGAGATAAAAATCCAATTACAATGCAAAATTCTATAAAATGCTAAGTAAATATTTTGTAGTATATATCTTTCTTCATTTATTCACAATGTTAATTTTGAGTATTAATTATGTTTGTGTAATAATCAATTGAATTTTCAACTTTAAACTGCTTTAATTTCACCTGTTTGATTTAATAATTACTTACCTGATTGAAGTTTACTTTTTTTCAAGTTTATTTTTCTTACAAATTTCAGGTATAGAGCTATCATCAATTATTGGTAAAAATTTAAATCAAATTAAATTTGATGATCTATCTGGAAGAAAGATTAATTTACCGAAGAAACCAGCGATGAAGAAAAATGTGGAATACTTTAATGAAGCCCAGAAGCAATCATCAAAATGTCAAAGATTACATAAGTTAAAATTAGCTAATTTAAACAATAATTTTCGGAAAGGGAATTTAGTAAGGCTTTGTAATAAGCCAAAGTTGGAAACAAATAAACTTCAACTTCAACATTATGCAAATTTTATTAATAATCCACCGACTAGTTACAATGTTATCTGTCGGAGACAATTGCTACACAAATTAGATCAATTAATTGATCAAAAAGCAACAACGCTACAAAAGATTCAAAAGTTAAAATCAGTTAATCTAAATGATACAACAAAAAATTCGAAACGAAAAATACAACGACTTTGTCAAATATCATCCAATCCATTACATCAATCAAATAAACAACAGGTATTATTATCGACAGGTATGTGTTGTTCTTTTTCAATTGCACATTTTACTGCAAAATTTTTTTCTTCAATTAATTATTTCATTATAAAAGTTATTCATTACCTAAACTTATTTAACATTCTGTCTTTGTTTTAATTTTCTTCAGTCTTTTTTTGGAACAAATTTTAATTTTGAATTTTAAAATTGAAAAAATAAAATAAAACTTAGAGTATTATTAAATTTTAATGCAAATTTTTTTTGAGGTTAATTTATTTTCAGGTAAAAATACTGCTAATATTTCAATGTTAAATGATAATTGGCAATTAGCAAAATCAACAAATCAAATTTTAACACAAAAATTGAATGATAGTAATAAAAATAGCTTTGATAATAGCAAATTACCGTTATCGTCGACAACAATAAATGAATGCACTTCCGGTTCAACGGTTCGAAATTCATTCGAGAAATTAAAAAAGTAAAAAATAGTTTGTCAAATTTTATAAATATTTCAATATAGCTTACTCATTTGAATATATGCTATTTCTTGCCTGTTGAAAATCTACAACAAATTCATATTGCAATAGAATTATATCAAATTGTTGCAAATGTTTTTAAAACTTATCTCTTTCTTTGCTACTAGAAATTTGGTAACCGAAGAATGGCGAAATTCCGGTCATACAATCAGTGGTAGTGATCCGGAAACATCATCGGATAGTGATAGTGATATTGCTAGTGTTGATAAGAACGATAACGATAAAGACAATAGCATGGATTCAACAGCTCGTACAGCTAGCAGCGAATTTTCTAGTGAAGCTTTAACAATTACTTCTGAGCTTCAATCTATCAAATGATTTTAGCTTCTTGAAGAAATTTCAACGATCAATAAGAAAAGTCAGTCGTAAATTTATTCAATTTAAATTCGCAAGTTATATTTGATTATAAGCGATCGCTTTTTCATTCATACTTTTGATGTAATTAATTATTGAGTTCATATTTTCTTGACAACTTTTCCTTTTTTTAATCTTTGTTTTTCAAATTCTTTTTTAATTCTTAAATTGTAAAATTACCTTCTTTGCAATAATATGATTAATTATTATGAATATGATAATTTATCATGAATAAATGATTATTTTATCGTTTATCATTTTTTCCTTCTTTTCTTTCTTTCTTTCTTTCTTTCATATACCCTCTCTATCTCTCTCTTTTTCAACAAATAGAATGAATCATCTGTTTTGTGATCAAAGAGAATAAAACTCGAAAATTGCGTAATTCATAATTCAGATTCTGATTATTATTATTATTACTATTACTATTTATTACTATTATTATTATTATCACTATTATTATTGTATTATCATTATTATTATTATTATTATCATTCCGACATTTTATTTGCAAATTTCATAAACATTTCGCAGTTATTTTTTATTATCATTTTTTATTGTCTATGAAAAGGCAACAAACAAATATCCACCGAAGATTAGAATGAAAGAAATGAAGAAGACGGAAATGATAGAAAAGAATCGTTTCACATTATCAATTATATATATCAAATAAAATTTCGATATTATCTTAATCATAATAATAATGATAATAATAATAATAATAATGATAAAGATTAGTGATAATATGCACAATTCATTACAATATGCAAATTTTACATCACTTCCTTTCCTTTGTAAAAGATAAAAAAGAGATGAAAGAAATTAATTGGAATCATCAACTGATTGAACAATCAGAAATTCACGTCATTTTAATTTATGCAAATTTTTATGGTTTAAAAAAATTCAAAAAAGAATTATATCTATTCATTGGTAAACTATTGTTTTTTATTTGAAATAATATTATGCATGGATTAGTTAATTTTAAATTGTCTCTCATTGAATTGATTTCAATCAAATTATCAATTATTTAATCCGGAAAAAATTTTGGAAGAAAAAGGTAAAGAATTATTTTGAAGGTGAAAGCAATTTCCGGAATTCTTACTTTTCCTAATTTCATTAAAATTTTGAAATAGTATTAATTAATTAATCAAAATGTATTCATTAATTTTGTACGGTTAAATTTTTCTCTTCAATCTACAATTACTTTCAACAATTGTCCTTTGGTTGTCTTTTAAATTTCTGCAATTTAAATGTTAAAGAAAAATAAACTTTTTGTTTTAAAAAAATTAGCGGTAAAAATCAAAAAAAAAAAAAAAGGTGGCATCAATTTTAATTAGCATTAATTTGTTTATTTATAATTTAGTAGTGGATATTGCATTGTTATATAATGAATACAATTGTAAATAAATTTAATTACAATTATTGAAAATTTTTGAAATCTCAGTGATAATGAAATTTGAAGCGAAAAAAGAAATAAAACAAAATAATCGGAAAAAATTTAGGATTTTATAGCAAATGAATTAAATTCCTAAATTTCAAAACAATCAACTAATGAAGTATGAAAATAGTATTAATAATTAATAATTAACAATAATTAGTTATTATTATTTTATGATGAAAAAAAGAGAATCATTTCGGTTGTTGCCAGTTTTATTTAGCTTCAATGAAAAGCAATAAATAAATCATTGAAAATTACAGGAAAACAAATTAAAGCAAATATTATCACAGACATAGTACGAGCCGTTTTGATAACATTTCAAAAAAGAAAATGCAAAAGATGGAAAATATGAAGTGAAAAAACACTGTTAAAATGTTAGTAATGATATTATGATATTCTTTTATACCATAAAATATATACTTGCTAAATTACTTTAATAATACATTTAAAACTGCCAATAAATGTAATCCTTCTTATTGCTGCTTACTGATAAAATTTAGCCTGAACCATCGTAATAATTATATACACATTGGTAATAATTTAATATTATTTAAAGCAAGTTCAAGCAAATTAATAAAATATTATCATCATTATTTTTATTATCATCGTTATTATTTACTATTATTATTAATCATTAATATTAATTATTGTTATTACTATTGCTTTAATCAATCGATTTAGTAATTTGGAATATTATATAGGATGAATTAAATGAAATAATTTGTTAGCATAGTTGAAAATATGATTCTGTTTTCTGGAGGTATACCATTATATATCCGGGATGAGATCGTACTATCATCATCGGGCATGACATTCCAAATGACAATTCATTGTTTGATGATACTTTTTGATATGTACCAGTTCAGGTATATATTTAATAGAGAATGATTTTATCTTTTGTATTGATATTCCTTTTTTTATTTTAGAATTAATAATTCGAAATGTTATTATCAATTAGACTTAAAAATAAACAATGAAAAATTAAAATTTCTTCATAAATATCATTAAAGTTAGAAATTTGTTGACCTTTGACATTGAAGTGCTTTTCTTCTTACTTACTCAAATATTTACATATACTTAATGATTAACAACAGTTTTTTTCTTTTGTTTAAATAAGCATTTCTTTTAATTATTCAATTCAAAAATTTTAACAACAAACAAATTATGAAAAACAATAATATACGAATCATACGAAAAGAATAATTTAATTTTTAAATAAAAAGAAATCGAAATGAACCAATTAATAATTTTGTAGTATAAAAATTAATTTATTCAAAATTAAATTTTTAATTTTATTTCATAAAATTAAATGATATTTAGCTTCATTTTAGGTCAATCAATTTTTCAAAATTAAAATGAATGGAAGTAGCAGAAATTAGAAAATAGTGAAATGAAAGGTAATATTAATAATAATTTGTTGTACGACGATAAATGAATGAATGAATGAATGAAATGGATAATCCCTATCCATTTCATTTTAATACTTCTTCAACAAATATCATCATTTCATACTGTTTTATTATTCTTCCATTAAGAATGATGGCTTATGTCAATTTTAATTTATTTTATGGCAAAAATCCTTCGACGTACCGATTAGAAATGATAAAGATGATTGAGAAGTTTTAATTGAATTTTCACATAATACACATGCAAAAATCATTTCGTTTAGATCTTTTCAAAATCCTTTATTAATTGAAATATATTTTAATGGGAAAAAAATTTTTGAATCAGAATGTTGCAATATTTCACTGTTGTCTTGTAAAAGTTAAAATGACGAAGATATATATTATATAAACGGGGGATATCTTTTTCTACATATATTATATATATATATATATATATATACGAGGTTACGAGATTAAATCTTTTTTGGGAAGATCAAAAAGATAGACGAGGGTACAGAAGAAAATTGATAAATTTCAATTTGTATATTAAAAAGTTTATAAAATATTTGAATCTTCAAATTATATTGATTGGAAATTCTCTTGTTTTAATAATCCGAAGGTGTGAATATTTCGAAATTTATTATTATTGTCAAAAAAAGGTAATATATTAATTTATTTGTTTATTTGTTTACTTATTTATTTGTTTATTCATTTATTTGTTTATTTGTTTATTTGAAAATTAAATATTATTCTATAAAAGATCTTTTTCCCTTTTCATTTGATAAGTTTTTGCAAAAAATCCAAAGATGAAGTAAAAAAATTTTTTAATTCCATTTCTTTTGTCTTATCAAATTTACACAAAAAGAATTATGCAAATAACATAATTCAAAAAAGAGAAGGAAAAGCAACCTCAAATTTTGTTAGTTAATATAATAATAGCAAAGAGATTAGAAGAGATATAGTAAAGAAATTGTTTCTTAACCCTCTAAACGTTCCAGAAAATTCGGATCCTTAAAATATTCCGGAATTGGATCATCCATTCGATTAATTACTTTATAAATTGTTTTCTTCCAAGATGGCTCAGCATCACGTCCACTTTGTACAGCACAGAAAAATTCACGTAATGTTTCTTGTATTACCAATGATAATTGTTCCGGTGGCTGTAAATTCAATTATATTTCTCTTTGTTTTATAATTTCTCATTTCATTTTCTGTCAAAAATATTCAAGCGGAAAATTTTACATAAATATGAAAAGTTTAAAGTTATCAATTGAACATACCGTTTTATTAGAACAGGTAAATTAATTAAAGTTAATTAATGTAACATACTTTTTCACCCATTTTGTGGTAATTAAATTTTTTCTTTAGTCTTATTTTTCACCCTTATAACACTATGAAAATATTTTAAAATTTAATAATATTATTCACCTGAATATGATTATTACGATTATAGTGTTGATTGAGACTTTTGTAAATTTCCGATTCCGGTGTAACAATAATATCATCCTTATTTTTGATCCCTTCAGCTAGATAATTCCTCGCATATTTATCCATTTGATTGTAAAAAAATTCTCTATAAGAAAGAATTTAAAAAAACAATTAGTAATTAATAGTAACAAAAAAAACTTTTAATTTAATTGTTTAAATTAAAATAATATTTTCCAACAAATTTTTTTTAAATTATTTCAAATTCAAATTTATTAATTATTCACTAAAAAAGTAATAAAAAGAGAAAAGATATTATGAAATTAGAATATAATGATATCTGAGAAAAAACGATTAAAGATATTATGAAGTTAAAATATAATGATATTGATAGTAAATAATAACAATTTAAAAATGCTTACAAATTTCAACTTAATACAAAAAGTTACTAAATTCAGATCACCTAATTGCTTATTATTTAGATCACTTAATTGATTATTATTCAGATCATCTAATTGATATTCAGATCAGCCAATTGCTTATTATTCAGATCACCTAATTACTTATTATTCTGATCACCTAATTGACATTCAGATCACTTAATTACTTAAGAAAAAATAAAGAGATTGAAGGAAATATTTGATTTATATATAAATGATCGAAGAGCTTCTAGAAGAATTAGCAATTTCAATATGAAATAATTATAAAACATATAGTTAGAGAGAAAGAATGAAATTGAAATTTAAATTGAATTATACCAAAGTTTTTATAATATTTCAATTTATAAATAAATAAATAAAATATTTACATTTCATTTATAACAAAAATTTTTTGAAAATTTGATCGAAAAAAAATATTGAAAATTACAGTAGTCCATTAGAAATATAAACAGTTAAAATAAGCTCTCTCAAATGGTTAAAAGGATTGATGACCTGATACGACCTTAACATCAACATCACCATCATCATTCTCATCATCATCATCCCGTTTTACTATTATTATTAAATTATCATCCTTTCTCCTCTTTCTATCTTTTCTTTTTCTTTCATCATCATCTCATCAATCTCAGTACCATCCTCAATATCATCATTATCATCATCATTATTGTTATTCATCATCAATTATATGATAATCAAGTGTCAAATTACATTTTGAGGCAAACGGGACAATTTAAACAAACATATCCCAAAACGGATGAGGACAGAACGCGCCAATTATTTGTTTATAAATAGTTACCGGTTTTAAATGACCTTACATTTTTCCTTTCCTTTCTCATCAATTGTTGATTTAAATATTTCATCTACTTTTCCCTCTTAACTTCTAAAAAAGCACCACCTGTTTCTCATATCGTACACCTGTCCTTCTGGTTCATCGCTTTTTTTTCCCCCAAAATATATTTATACACACTCAAAATAAGAGATAAATAAATAATATAAATATTTATTGTATTCTTTCTTTTGCTACTTTTCTTTTAAGAATATAGTTTATCAATCAATGAATAAATTGATTGGAATACCGTAATAGATGTACCGTACCGTAATGAATAGTGAAATAAACATCAGTAAATGGTATACATAAGCAAATGGCAATCATTATACTATTAATTACTATAAATAAGTTAATTTTAAAGCGAATTGCTTTTAATTATTCATTAATATTATTTAAGTGAATAAAAGAGAAAATGTCGAAAAATGCAGAAAAAAGACGAATAAATGTTTATTTGACTGTTATAATTTATATTAATTAACTTACCATTGTGAAATATTTTCTTTTAAAAAGTAAATATTTATCGAAAAAGAAATAAATAATTATTACTGTATATTAAAATATTATTATAAATAAGTACTATTATATGTTAAATTATTCCTGATAATATGTAAGTATTATTATACTGTAATTTTAATTTCAATTTTTCCACTTCTTTTTAATATCATTTTTTCATTTAATTTTTTCATCAAAGAAGTGATACCAAGAAAGAGAATAGAATGACTTAACTTCCACGTTTTTCACGTTTTTCACGTTTTGCAATGATTTAATCATTTGTCAAATTTAATCCTTTAATTTGTTAGCATAGAAATAATATCTTTTCTTTTGTTTAAGTTTTTAAAATTAAAATGAAATATATTTAACATAGTATGAATATATTACTGTATCACTATTTCTGTAGGAAAAATTTTGCTATAATATTCATAAGTTAGCAAACGATAAGAAAATTATTGACAGTTGCAAGAAGAGAAATGTTATAAAATTGATAAAATAAGTGAATCATAGATGGTTAAATAAGAAAAGAGAAAAGAAAATGATTAGCTATAGTAAATTATTCATCTTTGTTTTTCACATTTTATTTTAAATAATTTAATATTTCGAAGCAATAAGAGATAAAAGAGAAAGGAAAGACAAAGGGAAGATGAAGAGGAAAAAGAAAAAAAGAAAAAATTAATCAACTAAAATATAACTTTACTAATAAAGTTTTGCACTTAATTTAATTTAATAATGAATTAATACTGAAACGAACCGGAAATTCGAGAACCATTTAACCAATTGTGCAGTGTTGTTTTTGTTAAAACGAATATCCGGAAAATAAGATTTCAATAAAGCTGAATTTGGATAACGCGTATAAAAAAACATCAGTTTTGCCTTACGCAAATGCATTGGTGTTAAAGTAGAACTGAAAATAAAATTAAATCTTAATTAATTTAATGGTAAAATTAAATTTTGAAAAGAAAGAATTAAAGTTTTTTTAAAGTATAAGGATAGAAAATTCCATTGTTTAAATTATAATAAATATTTATCATTGAAGAAACCTTCCACCGATACTTCCATCATATGGTCCACAATCGCTTGCATCATCCGAATTAATCGGACTATCCCGTTCATCAGCACCAAATGTACCACCACCGTATAATGGATGACCAACCATTGTTGGTGGAAAATATGATGATAACTGAAAATTGTTATAGATATTTGATAAATTAACTATTTTTTGTAAACAATTAAATATTATGATTTAAAACAATTTTTCATTTCCTTTGTCTTCAAATATTAAATTTTCAAATAATTGAAATAAACCTGTGGTGAAGATCGGGCACTATTAGGAAGCGAGGATACTTCACGATTCGAAGTAGTTATTGGTTGAATTTTATTTATTCGTGAAGAATCCGTTACTTTCGATCGTTTCTTTCGTGGTGCAAATGAACTGTAAAATATTTGAAAATTTTTAATAAAAGTTAAATTTTTCTAATAAATCAAATTTCAAATAAATTTACTAAAATTTCTTAGGGAAAAAAATTTTGAAATTTTAATGAAAATATGTATTTGTTACCTTAAATCATCCATTTTACGAAATGCTGCGGTAGCTGGTGATGCAGCTTTTAGATGTGGTACAAATGGATTGAAGGTTGTACGAGGTGCAGAAGCAGCTGGAAAAATACCGGGAGGATGATGTGATGGTGGCGGTAATGGTAGGCTATTTTGTAAAAATGGATTTGGAAACGGAGTAGATTGACCGTTAAACGAATGATAGAGAGGATGGAAGAGAAATGGACTTCGATTAGCAACAACGGCTGCTGCTTGCTCACGTTGTTGTTCCACAAGTGCAGCAGTCGTACGTTGCGCACTGATAGCTGCTTCAGCAGCAATGAATTCAGCTATTATCTGAAATTACATCAATTATCATTGCTATTGTTACAATGCAAATATGGATCATGAATAATGTATGTGAGGAGAGGAGATCAAATTATAAATGAAATTAAAAATTTTCAATAATTGTTATTATGAATTAATCATCGTAACCTTGCAGAAATTAGTATCTTCAAAATTAGTATATCTAAAATTTAGTATCTTTACCTGTAGAAATTAATACCTTCAATTGTTTATTAATTCTCGATATTCATCTAATTCAAAATGATATCCACTATTGTATTTCTTATCCATTCTTCTAGCTATTTTATTCTAATAAAACTGAAACTTGTAAATATAATTTGATAAATTATAACAGTATGATATATACCTTATCAACGCTACTATTTAATCCATTGATAAGTTCTTGCTTTAATGATTGCGCTAATTTAGCATAGTCTCGTTGAATTTGTTGTTGTATAAGTTGAATTTGTGCTCGTTTTTGCTCTTCACCATTTGCGCCCAATAATTTCTTCTGTTGTTCAATCCAATTCGAATAAATTCGTTTTTGTATATCAATCATTTCTTGTATCCTGTTCTATAAACAAATCATTCATGAAGAAGAAAAAAGAGTAAACAAATAAAGTAGCATTTCTAATACGTAAACAAAAAACGAAAACAAAATTTGTTGAAATTATTTTCAAAAAAAAGTTACAGAATGATTAATAGGTATTTATTAATTTAATTAATTCAATTTCACGTTTAATTTTTTTTCTCAATTAATTCCATCATAAATTATACATATATGTATAATACATATATTTGTATACCTGTGGATTAATATTGGCAGCTAAACTTGCAGCTAAAACATTTTTTGGTGCTTCATTAGCCAGTTTTGTTTCATCTGATTTCTCGATATTTGTTTTATTTGTAATCTTATCATCTTCCAATTTATCCTCGTTTTGTTCTAAAAAACATTATTGATAAATATCAATAAAAAATTTTTGAAAATTTTAAAGTAATTAAAAAATTTTAAATTTTAAAAATTTAATTAAAAAATAACAATAACAAAAAAAAACATACCAATTTGAAGATTGCATTCATCATCAATATCAATTGGTTGTCGTTGTGGTGCAGCACTTTTCCGCCTGGATGAACTGCTACCACTATTACCACCACCGGTAAATGATACGCTTGGAGTAGGACTTGTTTCACTCGTACTATGTTCTTCCTTTTATTAATCGATTAATTAATATTTAATTCATATTAATTATTGTTATTATTAATTGTTGATATTTTCTTCTTTCCTTTTAATAATTTCTTAATTTTATTTTTCATTAAAAATACTTTGATAATTTCCGTTTAATTTTTTTTATTTTTCAAATCAATCGAATAAATTTGATGAACAAAATTAATCAGCTTAAAATTAAACAAACTTTTAAATATGATGTTGTATCATCATCATCAGCCTTATCATCATCGTTATTTTGCCTATATGATTGGTCATCAATGATCATTGTAGTTGTTTCATCATTATCATTAGCTGAATTAATAATAGTTGCTAATGTTTCATCATTATAATCGCTAGTTTTAGCATTATCATTCATATGTGTCATCGATGATGATATTCTCGTTGAAGTTGTAAATTCCTGAAATTTAAAAATAAGACATTAATGAATGAATAGCAAAATGATGAAATTACCAATCAAATGAAATTACTAATCAAAATTACGGTAAATTTCTGAAATATTCTAATATTAATAAATGAGTAATTAAAAAATACAATCAGTAATTAACTAATTAAAACTTATTATATTATTTCTAATATATTTTACAAAAAGGAAAAAAACAATGTTTTAAAATTTTTTCAATTAAAAAAAATTATTTAATAAATTTCTAAAAATGTAAGCAAATAATAAACAAAAGTTTAAAACAAAAGCTTTCCAACAAACATACAGTAAATTAATATTATCAAAAATAAAAGTTTAAAACTTTTTTCAACAAATAAAATGAAAGCAAAGAAGAAAAGAAGATGAAGAAGAAAATAGGAAAGAATATGAAATTAAAATATGAAGTATGAGAAATAAAACTCCACCTTTTCCCTTCCCTTTTTAACCAATCATTAATGAGAAATATCATCACATAAAAAAAGTACCGCATGAAAGAAGTTGTTTACAAAAATATTGTAGGAGGAAAAAAAAGGAAAAACAAATTTTGATTTTAATCTGAAATTTATATGTTATGATTTGATTCTCTATTATTGTTGTTTGAATCTTTGATTACAGTAGGATAAGAATATGATTATTGATTTCAAACATATTTTCATATTTTTATTAAAAAAATTTAAAGAAATAAAAAGTTACAATGAATAATTGTAATTTGATTAAAAATCACACATCTATCAGAGGTAAATAAATTATTCAACAAAAATTAATTATCGTAAAAAAAGTAAACAATTAAAAAGTGCTAATTAGTGTAAACAAATTTTTAATTGAAATAAGAAAATTAATAAATAGGCAAAAAAAAAAAAACGATCGCAACGATAGCATAAATTTTTGAATGTTACCTGATGTTCATTATTATTAACATTTCGTTGTCGACTAAGATCTTGAATGGAATCATCCGTATCACTAACTTGTTCCATAATATTAAATGATGATTCAAATCTTTGTTGCATTGTAGTAGTAGCAGTAGTAGTAGTTGTTGTTGCTGTTATTGTTGTTATTGGTGCTGTTGTTGTCGATGTTATCGTAGTTGTAATCCAGGGGAATATACTGCTTAAGGTAGCATTAATATTATTTTGAGTTGTTAGTGCTGTATACGCAATGCTGTTATTATCATCAGTACTATTATTATTATTCTTGATAACATTGCTTAATTGAAAATCATTCGCATATAGTTGTTGTTGTTGCTGTTGTTGCTGTTGTTGATGTTGTTGTTGTTGTTGTTGTTGCTGCTGTTGTTGTTGTTGTTGTTGGCGTTGTTGTTGAAGCATCGATATGCGTGTTGCCTATAAAATTTGTTGAATTCTAATAACATAAAATATTATTGTATTATTTTTTACTAAAATTGTTACAAAAAATAAGTTTTACAATAAATTTTCAACAACAATACAATATTAAATTAGTTTTTCGAAGTTTTAAGATTATATATTGCTATAGTCGGAAAAAAATAATCCTTAAGATACTGTACCTGATAAGGATTACGTGGTTCACCGGCGTCAACACGTTGTCGTTGTCGTTTCAGTTTGATACGTTGTTGCGGTGTTGTACTGTTATTATTATTATTATTATTATTGATGCTATTATTGCAGCTATTAGTGACGGTAATAGTCGATGATGATTGATTATATTGCTGTTGAAATGGGTGATAATGATAATGATGATGAAGATAATGTTGTTGTTGTTGTTGTTGTTGATGTTGTTGTTGGGTTAATTGAGTAAATAATGGGAAGTTGGAAAGTTGATGATGTGTAACAAATGATGATGATCTGTTTAATACTTGAGGTAGTGTTTCCCCCGAGGACATCAACCAATTCGTTTCGTGCTGTTGTTTCGTCTTCTTAAAGGAATAATAATAATATTTCACACTAGCTTGATTAGCTTAATAATTTGTTTTCGTACCTTTTCACTTCCTGGAAAAAACAAAAAAAAGTGGAAGGATGAAATTAAAAAAGCAAAAATCTAAAATCAAGTAAACATAAATAAACTTACAGTCATCATTTGTTAATACAACAATTATATCACCAATAAATAATATAATTAAAACTTTATTATTAAAAGACTGTTTTATTTGTTTGTTTATTTGTTTACTTATTTCATTAACTTATTTATTTGTTTTGCTTTTTTTTTTCTTCTTTTAATCAAGCTAGCTGATTCGTTTTATTTGCATTTAAGAATTCATCAATGATGATGAAGATTGTGATAGATAGCTTTTTGCATGTAGAATAATAATGTTCAATAAACACAAACTAAGGCATGATGAGAATTTAGGAATTAGCAAAAAGGTTGAATAATTTGTTTCAACGGAAGCAACGAAAAAGGAAGTTATGCTATTGCCTATTTGATATGATTTGTGATAAATAAAACAAAGAGCAAAATTACTGATAAGCAATATCATTTTTGATTATCATTAATCAATCAAAAAATAAAAATAAAAATAAATTGAAAAAAGTGACTGAATATTAAATGAAAGAATAAAATTAAAATTTATTTGCAATAACAAAATTTTATTATTAAACGGATGTTTTATCTTCTTAATTATTTTAATTACTCTAAAATAAATATCATCAGCCAATTTTTCGTTCATCTTTTTTCAAACTTTTTTTCCTTTTTGTTTTTTGATTAGTAAAGATTATAAGAAATAATCGAGAATAACCTAAGAATATCTGAAATGTTAAAATTCTATTATTTTAAAATAATAACTTTAAATTGTTCAAATGCCTTAATTAATTAAGACATTTAATTGGATTGATAAACAAATAGTAGAATATTTATAAATAAGCCATTATTTATTTTCATTTTTTTGATATTCTATTTTTTCAATATTTTGCTATTGCATTTAATTGACAAATTTCACTCTCAAATTTTATCTCATTATTTTTCATTGATGAAATTCAACAAATCTTTCTTCATCGTCTTCTGTTTTTCATTAACTAATTTATCGATATTATTATCTTATCTTGATAACATAACAAAGGCAAGAAATTTCCTATCGGTAATATTATAATATTGCAACATGTGATCTGTCGAATAATAAATACTGTAACAAACATATACTGAAACTACAAAAATTAATGGTTAAATTTACATATTGACAATACGATTGTTGCTTAACATTTTATCAGTAAATATTTGATCAGAGGAAGAAAATTGTCGTAATGAAATTCGCATATTAAAATTCCTCATAGCTCAACAATCTGTCATTAGCCATTTAAAGTAACAAAACCAATAAAAAACGTTTTTAGTGAAATATTTCAAAACTGTCAATTATTTCTACAATTATATCAGATATAAAAATTCCAAAAAGAAAAGAATATTTCTTTTATTTTAATCAATCAATTTTTTTATTTTACACCATTTCTTTAATTGCCATTAATTAAATTACTACAAAATAAAACAATAGAAATTGTATTTTTATTCTTTTTCATCTATTTTAATCAATCAATTTTTATTTTACACTATTTCTTTAATTACCATAAATTAAATTATGACAAAATAAAACAATAGAAATATAATTTTTATTATTACCAGATATTAAAAAAAAAGTAATGAAAAATGAATGTATCAAATAATTTTAAAGTTTAATTATTATTAATTTTTAGCTCAATTATATTATATTCTTGTGATTTACAATTGCTGTCATCTTCTTAGATTCATTCTTAAACATAAAAATCTCAATTATACAGAAGTACTACTGATATGTTCATAAACGTAATACATATCATCACTATTCACTCTTCTGTGGTACTTAATACTTTGAACTAATCTTCCTTAATTTGCATATCATCCATGAAATGGTGTCATCGATACAAATATAAATATGTTGCGAAAGAAAATGAGACAATAAACACAACACATATATCATCTCATATACATACAGGCAGACGTTATATTATGTACTGCATGCATATAAGCTAATACAAATAGGCCATCTGTATAAACGAAACAGGTAGAATGAAATAGATGAGAAGAGTATGATAGGGACATATGTAGGTGACAAAAATTGAGATGACAATTGAGTTAGTTGGAAGGAATGATTTCTGAAGTGTATCATAATCCATTCAGAAGTGGAAGATTGAGAGTAAAGAGAAGTGTATTGAAAATGGAGGATACTTAACTAAAAATTTCAATACAATACCATTTAATCAGTATCATCTCTTTCTCTCTTCCTCTCTCTTTTTTTCTTCTTTTCCTTTCTTTTTTCCTCCTTCTCTTCCTTTTCATTAATTTCTATTTCATTTTTATTTTTGTTCTTTAATTCTCTTTATTTTCATTAAATTTTCAAACTACTTCAGTTTGTTTCTTAAAAAGATTCAGTTTCAACCAGTTTTTTATTTATAGCATTCGTTTATCGATGAATGAAATGATTATGATGTATTGTTAATTAATTAATTTTTTGTATTAATTAAGAAAGAAATAAGAGAGAGAGAGAAAGGGAGAAAGATGAAAAAAGAGCGGTGAAAATACAGATGGCCTGGTATGAATGATTGTATTGAATGAAATATAATCAAAAATTTAAAACAATTAAAGTCAGAATTATACTCATATTGAAATAATATATAATTAAAAAAAATTTTTCAGTCTGTAATTAATGATTGATACGAAGTAATAAAATATTATGAAGTGCATTTATAGTAAGTAATAAGTTAATCGATTATATGATTTGATATTAATTGCTTTTTGATATAATTAACTCTTTTGAAATTAATTTCAAATTCATTTGCTTTATAAAAATATTTCTAAAAATCAGAAATGTAACTTAAAAATTAATAAATTAATGTTATAATAATATGTAATAATATGTAACTTAAAAATTAATAATATTAGTTTATTAATTAATAATATTAATTTATTAATTTTTAAATTACATTTCTGAAGAAATTTCAAAATTTCGAATATTTAAATAAGTAAAAATTGCTATCATTAATTCGTATAAATTAATATTATTACAAATGAAGGCGCTTTTCTTGACAGCAAATAATTTTAATATATAAAAATTGAGATTGCATTAATGGATAGAATGATAGTATCGTTATCGTTTCCTAGCAGTTTAATGATACAATTTAAAACTATTAAATGGAATAATTTAAATTTTAGTTCTAGTTTTGAAGTTAAATCTTTAGCAGATCAGGAATTAAACCATCTTTTGACAAATTTAAGCCAATGAAATTTCTCATGCTGTTAAATTGTTTAAATTTTATTTCGAAACAAATCACAACCAATCGTAATTTATAAATTCCATCAACATCATTTTTTTTTCTACATTTCAAATTTTTTCGAATTAAAATTTCAATTTTGTTGAAATGCTAAAAAATGGAAATGAAAACTTAATTTTGTTACTAATTAATAATCATGATAAAACTTACTTTATCAGAATAAGAAATCCTTTACAGTTTAATGTGTTGTTTCTTTTCCTGTTATACAAATTTTTCAGCTGCGATATTCTTTACAGCTACGTTTAATGAATTATTTTTAAAAAGAAAAGATGCTAAATTTCTTTATGATACAAAAGAAGAGACAAATTCTTATTAGTAAAATTAAAATTATTCCTTTGTGTAATTTAGTATAATAATATAATTAACAAATTATATTGTTTTTTACTTATCAAAGCTGCGTTTTATGAATTTATTTTTTAAATGAAATGTTAAACTGTTGATGAATTTATTTCTTAGTTAATAAATTCTCTTTCAAACATTCCATTCTCAAAATTTTTCTGCCAGCAATTTTTGAATTAATAATAGAATGCAGCAAAATCCATATAAAACAATATTAGGAATAATTATTTACTCAGAATATGGTTACATTACAATATATGATTAATTACAGATAATAAGTTCAGTATCATTTAGATATTTTCAATCTTAAATAACTCATTCCACCAATGTATTTGAAGTTTGTTATAGATTAACGCAAACTATGATTACATTTAAAACTTATCATATAAGAAATTGAAGAAAAATTATGGTAGCCCTTTTTTCTCACAAGTGATTATAACGGTACCGTAATCTTTCCCTCTTCTTTTTTTCATAACTAAAGAAATCATCTAAGATTGTATGAAAATATTACGGTGAGTTTAAAAAAAGAGAAATCTGTTCGTTGACAAAAAGAAAAGACAGTAATAGTGGATGAAATAACACCGTATAGTGGAACCGATTTTGGATGGATGATAGATTTTGTAGGAAAAGAAATTCTGAGATAAATAGGCGGAGAGTGAAATGGATGAGGAAAAAGGAAGAGGAGGGCTTGCTTTGGATCAAATGGCGACGATGATAGGACGATGTGGAGAATTGATGAAGGAGGAGGAAAAGGATGAGATGATGGAGGAGGAGGAGGAGGAAGAAGAGAAGAAGGAGGAGGAGGAGATCGAAAAGATTTGAGTAGTATGAAAATTGCCTGTCTGGATTTCTTGTTGATAGAGGACCGTTGTTGTTGTTATTATTGTTTGTTGTTGCTGTTTATGATGATGATGATGATGATGATGATAATGATGATGATGATGATGAATAATCATGAATAATAATGATGATTTGCTGTAAATGTAGACGCCTTCCTTCATGATCCACTAATTCATTCCTTCTCCCATTTCCATTCTCCATCTCCGTTCTTTCATCAGTCATTTTCCCAATCTTCTTTCTCCCACTTTCCTCTAATTCCCCTCTTCTTCCTACCACTCCTTCTCTCTCATCTTTCACCCTTCTTCCTACTCGTTTTCCATGATATTAGATTTTTAAGCCCTATCTCGACGAAAACATGAAAAAGGGAAAAGAGAAAGACTCCAATATTTCAATCCTAACACATCATAATACA